GAACAGCACCGGGAAGCTCGTGTGACCAACCAGGATATAAAACTCTTTGAGCCACACACTTCATTCTGCACAGTGTTAATACTATAGTAATCTCAGACATACAGTTTTCAAGTTTTCACACTGACACCCCACTCAAAGCTTCTGTTTACAAGAAGCAACCAGTCAGAACAAAACTGTCTTAAAGGGAGAAGGAGGGAAGCTTGTTTCAGACAGAATAAACTGAGAGCCTTAAAAATGCATAGAAATTATTATTTTGAACTGTGAATCATGCAAAGCTACTTTAGAAGAGTCAAAAAATAAAAACTCAGAGCAGAAAATTAGCAAAATAACTTGATTTAAGGTGCTTTAAGGAGGTCTGCAGGTTTAGAAGAAACCATTATATTTATAGAGAGCATCTTTTCTGTGCTTTTTCAGTTGAGGGGAAGTTAGAATCAGGCAGTCTCATATGGAAAAGTTATATATAAATCTTATAAAGTTTGTATCTGTCTTGTGTGAAACTTGTATGAAAGCATACAAGAGTGAAAACAGATATAACATTCTTTGAAAAATTATTGAAATGAAACTTGTATGTTTTGAATACTTACTAAAGAAATATATGAAAGTGGCCACTTTCATGAGTAAATCATATAAGCCTTATATGATTCACTATATGAAGTAGGCCACATCTGATGCAAGTCTTTATAAGTTTTTTCTATTTCTTTTCAATATGTGGTTGTCTGGCCATCATAAGAAATAACATTAATTCAAGCAAAACATGTAAATTATTAGTACTTGTCTTCAAAGATGATTTAAAGACTCAAACTGTTGTCAAACTTGAGCTTCTACACAAACATGAAAAATATCTTTTGCCAAATGGGCCTCGTCTGCAGACACAGCAGCGCATTATGTCCTGCCAGTTCTGTACTTTTTCCAGTTTACATGAGACTGTAGAGTAAACTACAACTTCACTGATACAGAACACAGACTCATGAAAAGCACATACGCCCTGCCGTCTCATTCTTTGGACAAACGTGACTGAGACGAGCCACACTGATGTAATGTCCATGCTGCCTGCAGTGGATGGGTGTGTGTCATCACCTCTTTCATCAGGTAAATAATTCAGGCCTGACATGAGCCAGGTACTCACTTGCAGCTGCTATGGTGTCTCCTGTGTGGAAAGGTAACAAAATGCAGATAGAGGCCTCTGGATGTCAACTATGAACCACGGTGTCCCCACGTACTACCCGTATGAAAACAGTTATTCCTGTTTCAAATGATAAACTATGAATGTACGTCATTCTGCTCCCCGTTCTTTTAATGGGGTTTAAATTTTGTAAGTGACTTTGTAACAATGCTTTTGGTAAGTAACCCACATTTAGTCTTTTCCTTGAATAAAAATGCAAACAATAAAGAAAACCCTGCCCGAGGATGCTGACTCCTGTCACACTTTATCCTCTAAACCACAAGATGTCATTTTATCCCGTCATTTATTGACTGACATGATGCATAACATGGGGTTCCTCTCACAATAGAATTTTCCTTGACTTTTAGGGCAGCAAGCATTAAGTAGCTTTGATATCTGTTATTTGAAAATGTGTCTGATCAACAAATTAATGTCACAAAATCTCTTGTCAATGAGATTCTTAGTCTAAAGGCTCCGGCCAAGTCACAGCTGTAACTGTTATGCGTCTTGTTACTTTCGAAGGTTCACTTCAAGTTACACAAACTGTTTCCAGAGTGTGTGAGTATCATCTCACCACTGCAGACTGCACAGCGTCCGTCTGAACCTCTTCTTCAGGTGAGTCTGCCCTCTGCTGGAGTTTTTGAACATTTTAGTACCAGTTAGTCTGAAACTGTAGCTGCAGGTTACGTTACTCAAATTGTCAACGCTGTCACCAGATCTCAGTCCAGTAGAGCACCTTTTGGGATGTGGTGGAATGGGAGACTCACATCGTGGACGTGCAGCTGACAAACATACAGCAACTGTGCGATGCTGTCATGTCAAAATAAACCAAAATCTCTGAAGAAGGTTTCCAGCTACTGGTCTATGTCATTAAAACAGTTCTAAAGGTAGGATGGAGTCAAATCAATGCTGGCAAAATGTAACTAAAGAAGCCACTGACTGTGTTTCTTTAAAACCTTATTTAACCATTAGGGGAACTTTTAGGAATTAGAATATATTTTGTGAGAATTTCCTGGTCGATATTTGCAGCATTAACCTGGCATGATGTCAACAGAAGGAGAAACCAGAGCTCCTATAAACGATAACCTACATAGTGACATGCAAACTCAAGACTGAAGGGCCCCAAACCTAGGACACTCTTAAGAGAACTTACACACGAAAACCACACACTGCCGATACAGCTAAACAAGCCTCCTCACATTTTGATTATATGGGAATAAACCAACCTAAAGAGACATTTGGATCATTGCAGAAATCCTGAATAATCCAATAATTTAAGACAAAGGCGGACGAGACAGTTATTAAGTGAATATACGAGCAACAAATGCATTTACAGCTAATTTGCATTTAGATTGGAGTGACAAATCAAAGGTCACAGGATGAGATATGATGATATGCTAATTGTGCCATAAAATCATAAACAGGCTCTTCTTTTTGCATCAATGAACAAATAAAAGCCCTCTGCAGCAAGCACACAGAGAAAATAATCTTTGAACAATAAATTCACAAGAAACATTCATGTTGAAAGAGCAATAACACAGCAAGTTTTTACACAGTGCAACTACAAAGACTGAAACTGTGTGGCAAAAGCTTATAGACTCATATTCTCCCACAGACTGTGGATTCTCCAGGTGCCACAGACAATCAGAAATGGAGGACAAGCTTGTTGTTGCCACCTGTGGGCAGCTGAATGATTAAACTTTGATTTCCTGCAGAGACAGGACAAAAAAGGGGAGCTTAGATTCTGAATTCCAGGTTTTTTATTTGTACTTGTGAAGGAAGTGCTTAATATTAATATGTGATTGGAAACTTAACAAAAAATAATTTTACAAAATTTAAATTGTTTAATGTCTTGCACCTTTGCACCTCCTACTGGCCTTGCAGTGACAGTGTAAGAGACTGTGAGTTGCCTGGGATCAACCGTTCATTGTCTACAGCTGAGAAGCTGTGGATATGGTACGTCTCAGGTTGTTTTCAGAGGGACACCACTTCTTTTGAAGAGTGCCATAAAAGCTAATATTTCTTTGGCAAATTTAAGTCATTTATCATTCGTCTTTTAACTCCATTTTTGATCTTGTCTAGATGGTTAATGCATCGTGCTCATCAGGTGGGCTCTGGCTATGCCTCTAAGCTGAACTGTTTAATGTTTCACGTACCACATATTAGCATTTTATCACACCAAGTGAGTGTTTTTACACAGCCACTCTGATCAAACTGGCGTTCTTAAGACCCAGTCTTAGAGGCCTGCTTGGAGATATACCTGCAGCTTTAGGTGTCTTGTTACCCTTTCTGTGAAAATGGTTCCCTAGAAGTTATGCAAGCTCTCTCCAGAGTCTGTAAGAATCATTTCACCACAACAGTGTCTGTCTGCAGGTTGTGGTCTGCCCTCTGCTGCTCTGCATGAAAGTTTTACTACACCTCTGTCTCACAACTCAAGCAGGCGTGTTTGGTAAAGAGCAGATATCTCTGAATTATAGTCTATCATAACTACTGGCGTCTGTTTGATGCTCCCATAAACATTTAGGAGGTTGATGGATGTTACTACTTTCACCAGAAACAGAGAACTATAACATAATTACATAACATTATTAAAACACAACATAATTATAATATAGTCTTGTATCTAATAGTTTATAATCTTTTTGGATGGATAGTATTATATGGACATAAATGGGTTTTAAAAAAATAATTCTTCAGCCCATGGCCACGCCCACTGTGTGCAGCCAACCACACACAAATAATGGATATGTGCCTGCTGATCTGACATCACAAGACAGCCATCTTCACAGACCCCAGAGTTTCCCACAGTCTATGAACTGAAGAGCATCGTTGAGAGCAATTCAAAGAGGCTCTTTGTGGCTTCACAAATCAATAGCCTGGTCTTAGGCCCCGGAGGAAGTAGTTTTCGTCTGAGGATTGATTCGTTTAAACATCTGAGAACTGAGCACCTCACTCCCCAACACCTCCCTTAAACTGTGAAGCTTCAGGATGGAGGACGTGCAGTGAGGTATGGGGAAACAAGGGGACAAAGGAGGTCATAGACAAAGAAGGTGGGATGGTGATTCCTCAGCAGGTGATGACTGATTGAACACAGAACACAGATTCTCCTTGGTGTTAATGTGATGGTGCTTCAAAGTGAAAATTTATCCTGAAATCAGCAAACATATGCTAGATAAATGGATCGTTTCACATAAGACTCTTAAGAGATACCTGAAGGTCTTGAAACACTGTCATCGAAGGTTTGGGCGTGGACGGAACAATTTATTAAGGAAATAAAAATGATTAATCGCAGATCACCATAACAGTACAGTGGACAAATAATGTTAAATGTATTTATTTAATGAAATCACGCTTCAGTTGGTGTAACATGTGCTCCAGCTGATATTTAGAAGTAGACCATTAATTAATTAGAGCTATTTAACGTAAATAAACACAGGTTGGGGTGAAAGAAGCCAAACAAAAAAGCCAAAATCCTACAAGAGCATTTTGTACTATGTAGAAAGGATAAAATAAACTATGAGAAATGTCAGAGAGATTTATTTGATATGTACATAAAGTGTAGTAGGAGTGATCTTCTATGTGCATGTTTTTAAGCAATGATGCCGTTGTCTCAGGTCATGTGCACCGACTCTCACTTGGACTACTGACCCAACTCAGGGCTTTATAGGTCACCATGTGACCTGATCACAACGTTCCCTCTTAAACTTTTAAAGAAAAGACTCAAAACCTCTTATTTTTCTAGCAGCAGGTGATAACTCAGCATAAACTAAAACACACAGCAATTTGTGTTTATAAATGACAATCATTCAAACATCCCCTAATTGGACCTGAAGTTTACCTTGATGAGGGTGGTGCATTTGTAGCTGAGGCGGCGTATGTTTGGATCCCAGCCCTCCAGCGCCCAATCAGATCCCTTCCTGTTTATTTTCATTGCCATGGTTACCACATTAACACCTGCATACTGCTCATCTACAGAAAATCCTTCATGTTTAAAAAAAAAAAAATCTTTTTCAAGCCAGATTTGACAAACGACTGCTGATCGGGACTTTTCCAAAGTAGAGTAATAAAAAAAATATGTACATAAAAATTCCTTTTTCCATGTCGTCTTCCAGATTCAACAGTTGCTTTATTCCACGGTCGAAGTAAAAATGTCCTGCTCCTGAATTATTTCCCCCAACTGTCTGTTTTTCCTCCTCACATAAGAACCTAAAAAATGTATTCCACTGACTGAGTAAATCATGCCTCCTCTCCTGTTTAGTTTGGTTACACCTTTGCAGACTGGATAAAAGTCAGAGTGTGTCTGACGAGACAAACATTCACAGAAGAGATGGGTGGCGTATTATTCAATGTATTTGCTTGTTCTGTTGGCTCGCCCCATTTGTGCCTCTGCAGCAGGGGAACGCTGTCAGGGCTCATTAGCTGATCAGAAAAGAAGACAAGTTCAGCAGCGCATTAACTAAGTATCAAAGAGGTTGATACAAAAGTAGTACACACACACACACACACACACACACACACACACACACACACATACAGCATCTTGTTTGATTTGACTGGTCTCCCTGTTTACAGTGTGTGCATGCTTTTTAAAGAAAGAGTAAATAAAGTGGGAACACTGTAGCTTCAGATGTTCTTTCTTCTTTCATTATTTTGTGTCATACAGTATATGTTGTTACAGTGGTGAATGTTTGTGTTAAACATGACAAAAGCTTCACATGAGGTCAGCTTGCATGCCAGTCCCTCTGTGCCAAAAGCTCCAGCTTAAGAGTACTCCAAATGCTCTGTTTCATATGTTTTACTCTCATTTCTGTCTGATGTCACTGATTGCACGTATCCATAGTATGTTCATCGAAAGTGCACAGTTTAGCCCTACTAACCCAACCGGCTGTTCAAATCATGCAAACCTTTTGTAGTAGAGTGTAACAGTGAACGATTTGGAGCTGGAAAGGAGTATGTGTGTGCGCGTGTGTGTGTGTGTGTGTGTGTGTGTGTGTGTGTGTGTGTGTGTGTGTGTGTGTGTGTGTGCGTGTGTGTGTGTGTGCGTGCGTGCGTGCGTGCGTGTGTGTGCGTGCGTGCGTGCGTGCGTGCGTGCGTGTGTGTGTGTGCGTGCGTGCGTGCGTGTGTGTGTGTGTGTGTGAGAGTGTCTGTGTGTGTGTGTGTTTTCACCTGCTGTAAAATGACCATGGCCCTGGTTTTTATCCTTATGGTTGGACATCAGCAGTCACCTGTAGACTCTAATGAAGAGAGTGAGAAATAGATTCGTTTATTCAGAGTTTGCTATAAATACATGAAAAATGATAATGATTCAGATCATCTCACAGTGAACTCATCATTATGTATATCATTATGAATTATAAGGTTTTGGGTCTGATGTATAATTAGAAACAAACAGAATAGACAAACTGTATTGAAATAAATAGAGACTAATACAACCTCAACTAATTTGTCAACATGGCGGCAGGTTGTAAAGTAGTGCCCGAACATCTGAGAAACTACAATGTTATAAGCTGCCATACTGATTAATTATAGAAAGTGCAGAGGCCTTGAAAATTACTTGTTCCCATTTTCAAATACTCACTCAACAAAGTGATTAATAAAACACTTTTATTAATCATGTATCAGTAAAACAGACGTTCACTGATAGAAACCTTTATAAAGGGCTCCAAGGGGAAAATAACTACTTACAAATGGCACAAAAATGCCACATGAAACTTTGCCAAAGTTCATTAAGAGAGCCTAATGAAAACTGGCAGTGCATTCTACGGTCAGATGAACCCAGAATAAATGAATCTGGGTCAAATGAGGTCCAGAATGTCTGGCACAGATGAGCTTGGGACCATCACTGTGCAAAAACATGGGAGAGTGAGTGCTGGTATGAGTGCAAAAAAACAACAACACACAGCAGAGGCACCTGAACAGTATTCTGTTACAGTAAACAGGATAACTGGGTTTGTTCTTTTCAGGTCACTCGCATGCAAACAGTGTTTATGCATGTGTATCTGTGTGCATGGGAATTAGTGTTAATAAATTATTCAGGCTCCTCTTGATGAAGCTTCAGGCTGATCCTTTGACTTTTTGACGTATGACAGCTGCAACACCTCAACCTCATTAGACGCTTTGTTTGGGTTTCTCTTTGAACCGCAGCACAGCTTGAGTTACACCAGAGCTCTGAACAGAGCCTGGTTCAACCTTTAAGACCGCCATTATATCAAATCTAAATGTTCTCCGGTGAGTCAGGTGTGCAGTGCACTTCAGACAGGATGTTGTTTGATTTGCCTTCTTTTCATTCACTTCAAAAGTTTCCTTAATTTACATCACAAACATTTAACATCTTTTACCAAACTACCTCTAATTGTCTAATTTTAACTTTGTAGTAATCAGTGGTTTTTCTATTATGGTGTTATTATGGTATAGAAAATGTCTTCAGTTTTATTCTTTATTTTGTTTATTTTTATAGAGCTGGGAGGAGGTTTTTGGATTGGTACGTCTACATAAGTGACTAAAATATTGTCACCTTAAACTGAAGCAACAAATTCCTGTCTGAAAACTGAACTTAAACAAACAAATTAAAAACTAATGAAAGGTACAAAACTTTAATACCTATGACCTCAAGAAAATTAAACAAATAAATAATATTGTAATATTTTCAAAAATAAGCAGGTAAAGCCATGAAATCTTTAGCACTTTTGAAAGAAAACATTACTGTAATAATTGTCCAAGTATAAAATAAATGCTTTTTGAATAAAAACTGTTATCAGATAAGTCTAGAGGAATAAACAGAAAGCAGGAATAATACAGCCAGTGTCAGCCAGACTACAGGGTGTAAATTGAAAAAGAATTTAATTCCAGCTCGATGTCTATTGTTGCATTTAACTTCTTTTGTCCTTTGTTTCTCGAGTCTCTCTCCCTCACTGACCTTTGCTAATTCTTCCGGGACTTTAAAGGTCACAAAAATGGTCTAATAATAACAACAGAGAGAATTACCATCACATACATGTCATACAAACACATGAAATGTCTCTCTCTCTCTCTCTCACACACACACACACACACACACACACACACACACACACACACACACTATCAATATTTCAGCATCTAATTACCCCAGCAGGGGGCTGGGACAAAGGTTGTGTGCAGTCATGCCGTGTATGTCTGCACGTATCAGATTTTATACCTGTACATTAATACACAGTAGCCAAAAAAAACCTCACAGTGTAAGTGAAACATCCTCCAACGGTGAGGCAATGTTTAGACGGACAGAAACAAAATGATAAGGGAAGAAAGAAAAGCAGTGATAGGAGTGACTGTAAAAAAGAAGAAAAGGATGTAAATGGAGAAAAAACTTGGAGTAAATAAAGGGAAATGTGAAAGAAGAACGAAGGATGAAAAGCAGGAAAAAGAGTCAAACAGAGAGAGAGCAAATATTCACAGATAATTAAAAATAGGAGGACAGGTTAGGCTGTAGGAGAGGGTGAATAAAGAAACACCTCTCTCTAAACTAGCTGCAAAAGTATGCAAGCTACACAAGAGAGGCTACCTCCATGTTTAAATGATTTATCACAGCTTGTGTCCTTCTAGCAGGGCCTTCGAGAGAGGACATTTGAAACAACTACAAACGTGTTTTGAGCTGCAAACACGATGTGAGCATATCAGTATTTTATATCATATCAGTTCTGAAAGTAAATTCTGGTTTACAGCCTTTTTAGCAATACTTCCTGCCAGTGCAGGGGTTAGTTTCCACCTCACTTCCAGTAGTTACTTTATCTAGTGAATGTTTAGTGTCTGTTTTTGCTGTTAAAGAATGAGGAATGTTACAGGATAAAGCACATGCCCGCCCCTCCCTGACCCTGATTCTGCTGAAGGTTTCTTCCTGTTAAAAGGGAGTTTTTCCTTCCCACTGTCACCGAGTGCTTGCTTGCACCGAGTGACTGTTTTTCTCTCTGTTACTGTAGGTTCTTTACCTGACAATATAAAATGCTTTGAGGTGACTGCTGTTGTGTTTTGGTGCTATATAAATAACTCTGAATTGAACTGAATTTGACTTCATGCAGCTTTAATTCTTTTAAATACCAAAGAATTGCACTAAGAACTGAAACCACTAAACCCTGACTCGTCTCTCTCCTCATGACAGTGTGGAAGCTGGATTTTTGGTTTTAGAAGACTTTGACACGGCTGTGCTTTAGAGAGCGGTGCTATTGTCACCTAAACCTTATCAGCCTGAATAACCAGAGCGTGCTAACAGTCTGTGGACCTAAATCTAATTCCTGCTTGCCCTTCATGACCTACTGATAGGCCTGAGGGAGGTACTGCATACCCCCCACTGAGTCAGGCACACTGGCTAAATTAAAACCCTTTAATTGGACAGCTGTGAACTAATATGGTCCAAAAGGCAATCGGTTTTGGGTAGCTTTCCAGGACAGACCCACTTGAGAGAGACTGGACATTTTAGTTACTGTGACAAAAAACAAACAAACAAACAAACAAAAAGCTTCCATTTACATAATTTAAATGAAAGATAATAATTTAAATGAAAAACTGTAGACCACATGATCAATGCGAAGTCTCCATCCTGCATAGTTTCTGTGTTTATTAAATTAGATATATGAAAATTTAAGCATTTGTAATGCATCCCACGCAAACATGCCTTTTGCATCACATTTGGTTTAACACATTTAGCTGCTGTGTATGCATAAAAAAACAACAAAATTCATGTGACTCATGTAATTTAGGACAACCTCGATGGGTGTTTGCCGGAGCTCTGCAGGCCTCATTTCTCCTCAAGAATAGCGTTTACAAAAGTGGGTACCAGCATGACGCAGCCAGAACCACAGAAACTCTCAAGATGCATTTTGTGTAATGCAGAAAAAAACTAATCAAGTCGAGAGCATTTATAGAGCACCTTTTAAAGCAACAAATGCTGAGCGATGCCGACAGTCTAAACACATAAATGCATCTATAACACATAATAAATCAACCACTGCCAGCTAATCAAGATCAAATTTAAAACAAAGTCAAACTTGCATTTTTAAAGTATTAAAAGTAGTGGCCTGTTCCTAAGCTTAAGGGTGGCAACTGAAAAACCAAAATCCTCCTTTATTTTAAATCTGGATGCAGGAACCAGGAGCATCTGGTCAGATCTAAGCAAACTGGTTGGGACACGAAAGTAAACAAGTCCCACCAAGTTATGAAGGAGCCAATTATTAAGAATATATTCCCTATATTTTTGACAGTGTCCTGCCATTTAGTAAACCAGAGGAGCGAGCTTCAGCTCAACTTTATGTAC